CCTGCCCATCTGAAATACTTTGCCAAAAGTTCCCGGTTGTACGCGAGAACAACATTCAGCAGCTGTTTTTCGTGGCGTTCGTGATTTAGACGGTACTTGAATTGGCTCTTGAGGTGTTTATCTGATGTTTGCATGCTAATATGATACAAATATGCAGTACTTTCCAGATGTTGCGCTCTTGGCAATATGTAAGTGCTTACCGAGTGACAATACTGTAAGGTTAAAATTCTCACAAATCTCACACACACACACACACAAAAAAAACTCACAAAATATATATATTATCAGTACTTGAGTTTCAAGCGGATTAGTGTTAGCAATATTTACTAATGTAGTATTTATTACAATTATTATGTGTCAGTTTTAGAGATGTTATTTACTTCATATAAAAATATATAATTTTATGCTTTTTTTAAATTAGTTTTTATTTTTACTTTAGTTTTAGTAATTTTAATTCTTCAACTTCTGTTTCAATTATTTGTCAAGGAAAGTATTTCTGCTAATATTTATATTTTATTTTATTTCAAGTTTATTTCAATTAATGAAAAACATGTTTAATAGTTTGATAACAACACTGCTTTTAAACTTTAAAAAAAGCCCCCAAAAACACCATAAAATAATCATAAAAATGGACTTTAATCATAAGAACAGATTTTTTTTTTGCTAACAATCCATCCAGATTTATTTATAAATAAATAGTTTACCAAAACTGAAAAAAAGCCTCAGACCATTTCAAGTTAGATTAGTTTATTTCTTCATCAAAATAGATATTTAACCACTTGCTCACCGATGTATCCTTTGCAGTGAATGGGTGCCGTCAGAATGAGAGCCCAAACAGCTGATAAAAACATCACAATAATCCACAAGTGACCCACAACACTCCAATCCATCAATTAATATCTTGTGAGGCAAAAAGCTGCATGTTTGTAAGAAACAGCTTAAACTGTTGCTTCCAGCTACAACTGTCCTCTATCCATAATATTGCCTCCTCCAGTGAAGAAGTCATCTAATCTGAATCAGGAGAAACATATGCACAAATCCAGCACCATTTACAAGAAAAACAGTCCAAAACAGTTCTACACAAATATGTGTGCGGATTTTGATGTGAGAGCTGGACTTTTTCATCAGAGGAAGCATTATTATGGATTATGAACTCCATATATTGGCCAGAAATTAATGTTTAAAGTTAAAACCCCTTAATTATGAATTTGTTTCTTAGAAACATGCAGCTTTTTGCTTCACAAGACATTAACTGACAGGCTTATTTTTGGAATATTGTGATGTTTTTATCAGCTGTTTGGACTCTCATTCTGACGGCACCCATTCACTGCAGAGGATCCATTGGTGAGCAAGTGATGCAATGCAACATTTCTCCAAATCTGTTCTGATGAAGAAACTAACTCATCTACATTTTAATTTCTGGGTGAACTATTCACTAACTAATTGATCATCAGTAATGCTTGATAAAAACTATTTATCACTATTTTTAAATTTCCACGACTTTTCCAAATTCTGCTTGCTTCATGACCCAACAATGCTTAATAAACAGAATCTCTGCTCACTGGGTTGCTAATTTTGGAACAGAACCGAACCTCTCGGGTCATCAAACTAGTGCAGTAGTAATCATGAAATTTTGCACCGTTCCATGTACGCCGTCCACCAAGTTTAATCGGGAGATTTTCTCATTAGAAGCCCATCGTGAGGTGAGGGCCACTGTTTAAAAGAGCAGCAATTCTTCAGGTCTCAGAGAGGACATGTACATCAGTTCAGCTGAACAGGCCCTTAAAGTCAAAGGTAAAAAAATGATTGAGGACAAGAAATCGAAGCACCCTGTCCACTCCAAAAGCCACAGTGCTGGAGAAGATAATGAGCCTCTGAAGCTCTCAACGTGAGAGTCTGATTACACTCTAACTACACACACACTTACACAGAACTGATTAAATACCAAACTGCGTATGTTCTCCTCGCTTCTGGTTACCATCGATCCTGAACTCTTATTATACACACACTGATTGTAAACATCTGAAGTGGAGTTATTGCGCTTGTCTGTGCCGTTGAACGCGCAGTGGATTTCGTTTGTTTCTGAAGGAAATGCGCCCCCGATCTACATAAATGCATCTATGTTCGCGCAAATCATTCGTGATCCAGCCTCATCTACAGAAGAAGCGAGTATAATGTTTTGTAATGAATCTTTGCAAATCACCTTTCCTAATAATGTGCTAATTAGCAAGTTTCACGATGAATGCAGCTAAAGTAAACCGTCTCTCTGAGAGCAGCTCGGAAGAGAGGGGCGGGGTCAGCAGAGCTCATTAACATTTAAAGGAAAATGCTACAAAAACGGCTTGATCTGAAAAGAGCTGTTTTTGACAGGGTAAAAAAGGTGTTTTTACACTACAATTGAGAAATTTTAACCAAACCATGTTACAGACTTTTCATTAAGACCCTAAAGAATCATATCAACTTGTGGAAAATGGGCATCATATGACCCCTTTAACTAGCTTTAACAAATATTAACGCATTGGTAATGTTAGTCAATGCATTAATGTTAACTAATTAGACCTTATTTTAAAGTGTTACCCATTTTTTCTCCGCATGTGAACTAAAAAGATAACACAGAACATGATGAGAGACATTTACAGTATTTCATATTGCCTTTAAATTACCCACAAACTTCAAAGTCATATACAGTTTGATCAATATATTCTTTTTTTTATTTTAGCATTGATTTAAAAAAACACACCAAACAAAACAAACTAAACAAAAATCCAGGAGTGAAGAAAAGCATTTTTACACGTATAACAAGCATGTTTTAATACTGTTTTACACAGTCAACAGAACAATGTGAATCAAAGACGAAATTAAAACAAAACAAACTAATTAATAAAAATAAACCCCCCTGCACAAATCCATCAGGAGCAGAAGAATTCCCTTTTCTGTAATATAAACACGGCGAAACGGAAATAAAAATACAATAAAAAAAAAAGATGGGCGGAGAAACTGATATTCTGAAAAAAAAGTAAAAAGCGGTGAAAAACAGCTGCAAAAAAAAGATGCGCACATTTGTTAAAAATGCCAGCGAAAGTACGTGAGTTTGCGTGTTTGTCCTTTTCGTCCGCGCCAAACGCTCGCAGGATGCACAAACCCTGCCATGATTGCAGTTCAATATCTACAAAATCTGCATTTGAACAACTTCCTTATATACACTGTACAACAATTGCCGTCAAAATTACAGCTTTTACAAAAAACGATCCGCCCAATGGCATTCAAAATGACAGTGCAAGCTCTGAAATCAGCTCACGCCAAGCGTCTCAATGCTGTTCCCTTCAGGCCAAAACGCCTTTCCAATCCAAAGTTGGTCCACAGTATCATGCATCTCTCTCTCCTTCTCCCTCATTTTCATTTTGATTTATATTTTATTGATTTTCACTTTCTTTACATTTTCTTTCCCTGCATCTTTGATTCAGTATTCTGTTTCAGGACTTGGCATTTCCTTCTTTCTGACTTGCCGTTATTGCTTTCGCTCTCTCGTTCCACTATTTTCTCTGGTTTGGGTCGGTTGAGAACCGGAGGAGGTTTTTGGACTGCGTGCTACAGGCATGTGTCATTCTTGCATTGTAAGTGCCTGCGAACACACAAACATTATTGAATATATTCTGCTTATGGCTTTCTGATATGTAACCGTGATGTTTTCACAAGACATAAAAGGGGAGACGTAAGCTACAGAAGAGAGTTGCCCATGTTCCATTAAAACGCTCGTCTAAAATGATCGGCTTGAAAAATAGTGCTATTCAGGATCCCATTAATGCTTCACACAGAAGACGACGCTGCTACCAGTCCAGGGCCTTAAATGTGTCATGACATGATTATTTTAGACAGGGCCGCTGTACGTCTGAACATATCTGTCTATCGGTTTAGTGCAAAAAAAGTCAATGCATTACAAAAAATAAAATCTTGGGAAGATACAGAAAACGTGTGTGCTTTTTGACTGTTTATAGAAAACGGTTTCATATTTATGTCCACCTGTGCACACAGACAAGATCGGCTGCAAAACCTAGTGAGCTGCCTTCTAAGGTGGCATCCGAACTGAAACGGACCCTCTTAAGTGAGCGATTTGGAACGGTCTATAAAGAAAGCAACTCAACTGCCCAGTTTGATGCAAAGCGCACCCCTGCTGAAACCAGCCTAAGGTGGTTGGCTGGTCTCCCAGCCTGGCCAAGCTGGACTTTTTGGATGGTTTTAGAGGGGGTTTGGGCATTTGGGAAACATTAGCTAATTATCTGCTAGCTGGGAAAACAGTTAAACCAGTTTAAACCAGCTAAGACCTGAAAACCCCCTTAGGCTGGTTTATTTATTTTGAGCTTAATTTGAGTCACAATTGATTTCAGTAGAGTTTGATGCTAACAACAAAGAAAAATGTGTATCAAATTACACAAATATTGCATAACTTAGTCATTTTTAAACTACATTTAACTATTTTTATTGATAATTTTCAGAATGAAATATGAGTATATTTCTAGCTCGACTTGCCTATCGTCTTGGATCAGTTTTTTTCACAATGCATTCAGGGATGTATATGTGACTCGCTACCTTATTTATGCTGTATTAAAAAAAAATTCCTTTCTAATTTTAATTTAGGTTTGTTTATTGTATGTAATTCTAAGTTTTGTTTACGCATAAATAATTTAAAAAGTACAAAAGATTTCACTTTATAAAATTCCAAATAAAAATATTTAAACTGAATTTAAACAAAACAAATGTATTGTTTTGTATTTACTTTAACATAGGTTTGGTATTACTATTAGTATATTATTTATTTTCATAATTTATTGTATGTAGTTTTGTTTTTGCATAAATAATTTTTTAAAAGTGTAATCACAGAAGATTTTACTTTCAAATAAAAAACATTTAATGGCTTTGTGTATACAACTTTTTTTTTTTTTACATTTCTATTACTTTTAGGATTTAGTTTATTGTCATTCTTTATTGTATGTAGCTGTAAGTTTTGTTCTTGCATTAATAATCTAAAATATGTAATTAAAAAGGATTTTATTTCATGAAATTCCAAATAAAAATATTTAAACACAATTTGTATCATAGAAGGCAGCATACTATCGTCTAGGAAGGCAGCTCACTAGGTTTTAAGACAGATCCAGATTTCAAACACACAAAGGACAGCACCAAACAAATCAGGAACTGGAAGGAACAATGAAATGCACCAGGCGATTTCTGAAAACACGTCTACAGATCATTGGTCTCCGTTCACTATTACGCTTCTTGTTGCTTTAATCGTCTGGTCCCCACCCATGACATCACTTCCGGCCACTTCCTGTGCTTTTATATTTGAGCTGCTCATGCAGAGGGCAGCGCTGAGAGTTTGTCCTTAGACCCAATCTGCTGCGTCCATCTCACAAACTCTGACAGACGCAAGAGTTTAGTGTCTTTTATGTGGGAAAACATGGCCTGTTAACGTCACTAACTGCGTCTGTAGTTCGCGGTGGCGTATCAGACCTCAGTCTGCTGCGTATGCGGGTGCATGTGTGTGTCCTCCAAACTATCCAAGCTTCCTCCCGTCTCAGAGTCTTCAAACCCACAGGGCGCGGAGGAAACCTCGGAGGCAGAGGAGGCGTTGACGGACAGATGCTCCTCCCTGCCTGTAAAAGTGCTAAACTCCTCCCCCGCAGAGCCGAGTGGCAGCTGATGCGGAGGCAGGTATTGGCTGGGGTGAAAGTGTGGGCGGGGCTTGCGGTCCCCGCTCAGAGTGCTCTCCCTGGAGACGGGTTGATTGGCGGGTGAGGTGTCGTATTCCTCCGTGGGAAGGGGCGGAGGCAGCTGGTCCTGGGACATAAACTCCTCCTCCTGAGGAGGCGGGTAGTCACTGTCGATATCGAATCCGCCGAGGTAATAGTCGGATTCTAAGGCCACGCCCACTTCACCCGTCTCATAGGTGGGGACTTCCTCGATGTCTGGTAAGCGTATGCTCGGCAGCCAATCGGAAGTGTCCCAGTGGTATGCTGGAGAAACAGGAAACAGGAAGTTAGTAAACATCAAGTGGGCAAACAACTAAGGGGGTCCTTCGGTAGGTACGTAATCATGTAGGGCTGCATGCTTGGTCACTCTGAAGGGAGGTTAACAGGTTAGACATCAGTCCTGTCCCAAACGGAGCACTTGTTGAGACCGTAGGGTGTCCCATTTGCAACATAGGCTCACTGGAAAAACGTGCTTCTTGCTTTTGCAAAAACGTACCTATACATACAACTCACTGCAGTTTCCAGCACTAGTGTCAGTAAAACACCATCAACTTTTATTCATGTTTGCACAAATTATTATTATGGGGCAGATTATCAATTAATAAAGACTTATTCTCTCAAAGGTATTTGCACAATACTATGTTAAACATTTTTTATACATTTTACATAAATTTTTTTCACATTTTTTCTGCTCAGTCTTTGCTCATTAATATATATATTCTTTGTGATGCAATAGTATTGGATTTATATTTTTCTAGTTTTTACTGTATTTTCATCCAATGCAGCTATGATTGTGTGCGAGAGCAGTTTCTGAGTGAAAATTGTTTCAAAGTAAATTCAACTATTTTTTTTCAGTGTAATATATTTTGATGTTTGCATCACATAGCTAGCTCCATATATATACAGTGGGTAACTTGTTGGGTCTTTCCCAAAAAGACTCATGGCTGTATTCGATCAAAAGGGTGCTTCTACTAAATACTGAGCAAAGGGTCTGAATACTTAGGACCATGTGATATTTCAGTTTTTCTTTTTTAATAAATCTGCAAAAATGTCAACAATTCTGTGTTTTTCTGTCAATATGGGGTGCTGTGTGTACATTAATGAGGAAAAAAAATTTACTTAAATGATTTTAGCAAATGGCTGCAATATAACAAAGAGTGAAAAATTTAAGGGGGTCTGAATACTTTCCGTACCCACTGTATATATGGCATTTCTGATGTAGTAAACTTGCTCAGGAGCACACCTGGTAAAGTGTTGTGCTTGTGACGCAGAGGGCTCGGGTATGAGTCTGTTAAATACAAGTCATTATAAAAGAGCTCAAACACTTTTAGAAGATAGCTAAAATGGCATGGTTGCCTCAACAAATGTGTTTTTATCTCACATTTGCTTTTGTTAACACTGTCAGATATGTTTATCTGACTCACCAGGTTTATTACAATCAACTAAAACCATAAAAAAATATTTGTTACTTAAAACGAAAAAAGAAAATGTTAAAAAACATAAACCTTATTTAACCTAATTTCAGCTAGTTGCCAAGGCAAAATTTCTCATTTTCATTTAGTTGGAAATGAAATGATATACTAAAATTACTAAAACTGAAATAAAATTGAATAGAAACTACATACACATAAAAAAAACTAAAACACATTAAAATAAACAGAAAATACAAAAAATATAAACTATTTCAAAATATTGGTAAAAACTATAATAGTAACTTAATTATACTAATATAACCAGACATTTAATTTCCAAACTGCCTCAATTCATACAACAACGAAAGTAAAACACTACCACAATCATGTTCATCTGTTTTGGATAAAATTGAACATGATTTTAGTGTCACTCCCTAGATATTTCACTTTGAACGTGTTTCGGAAACTGCAGGAAGCAACTAATATAATTTTTCCAGAGATGTCGCTACAGGCACGTTTTTTCAAATGAGTCTCGGCTGCCCATTTGTGATCCATTTTATTTTTTGGGACAGAAACATTACACTGAGCATCTCCACATGCAGGTCTTGCCGTAGTGAGTGGACATGCCTGCAAGGTGATCGAAGACGCAGCCAGGACAAGAGGTCAAGGTTCAGAGGTCAGTGACACGTTGTTGACACAAGCGAAACACATTCATCAAAAAACGCAAACCAAAAGAAATGAGTGTGAGGACTGCATGCAGCGATGCATGAAAACACAGAAGCGCAGGGACACACACGCACACGAACACACACACTGTACACAGGCCTAATCCTCGCTATCAGAAAACATCAATATCAAACAAAAGAAAAACACAAAGTCAGCAATGGAAGCACTGCGGGGGAAGAGACAGACGCGAAAGAGAGGAAAGGGGTGACGGAGGGCTGCGGGTACTCTGATGTGTGTGTGTGTGAGAGCGCGCGTCGACAAAGAGCATCTCGCTGCTGGATGATGTGACATTTCCCAGAATGCAATAGCTCAGTTTGTCAGCAATACGGAAAGGGAGAGCGAGAGAGGGAGGAATAGACAGAGAACACAGTCTGAAAAGGAAGGAGATGCAAGAACTCCGGGAGATTTAGCTGAACAAAGCAGGAGGAGAGAGAACGTGAATCACCTCTGTTGAAGTTTTGACCTTGATCCATAACGGACACTGGCAGGCAGAAAAGAAGCAGGAAGACAGAGAAAGAGAAAGAGAGACAGATTTGTGGGTCAGCACCAAACCCATTCTAACTCTTTTGTGATATATTGGTGCATGTGACAACTTTACAAAAATTAAACATGGTTTCTTTTTTTTGAATGAATAAATCTAGAAGTTGGGACGTTTTGTAAAATGCAGTAAAATCAAGAATTTCTGATTTGTTCATTCTCTTTAACTTTTATTTAATTGACAAAAGTACAAAGAAAAGATTTCCAAAGTTTTCACTGACCAACGTAAATGTATTTTGTAATTATAAACACATTTTGTTTTTGACGGCTGTAACACATTCTAAAACATGGGACAGAGGCAAAATAAAAGTGAAAAGGTTATAGAATATCCACGTTAAACTGTTCACAGTAAGCAGGTGAATTGGTAATAGGTCAAGGTATCATGTTTGGGTATAAAAGCAGCATCTCAGTCTTTGCAAGCAAAGCTGGATCATGGCTCATCACTTTGTGCCAAATTTCACGAAAGAAAAAAACCCACATTTCGCAATGCAGAATTGCAAAGAATTTAGGCCTTTCACCAAGTACCATACATAATATTGTGAAAAGATTCATGGAATCCAGAGAAATCACAGTATATGTAAGGCAAGGCAGGAAACTTCAGTTGAATGTGCTTGACCTTTGAGCCCTCAGATGGCATTGCATAAGAACCCGTCATGCTGCGGTGTTAAATATAGCCACATGGGCTCAGGAGTACTTCAGAAAACCCCTGTCATTTACCACAGTCTGCTGCTGCATCGAGAAATGCAACTTGAATCTCTGTTACTCTAGGAGAAAGCTATACATCAATTCTATGCAGTCATGCCGCCGGGTTCTCTGGGCCAGAGCTCATCTCAGATCGTCAAAAAGACAGTGAAAAAGTGTGCTGTGCTCAGATGAGTCCACATTTCAACTTGTTTCCGGGAAAAATGGATTTCGAGTTCTCAGTCCCAAAGACCAAAGGGACCATCCAGACTTTCATTAGTGACAGAAGCAAAAGCAAATGTTTGTCATGTTATATGAGTGCATCAGTGCAAACAGCATGAGTGACTGGTGTATGTGCGAAGGTACCATTGACACGGAGGCATATATTGGGATTGTACAGAGATATATACTGCCATCAAGATGATGTCTTTCATGGGAAGTCCATGGTTATTAGATCAAGACAACTCCAGCTCTCATTCTGCACGTGCTACAACAGCGTGGTTTCATAGACACAGAGTGAATGTGCTAGACTGGCCAGCAGATCTGTCTCCAATTGAAAATGTATGACCAGTCATGAAAAGGAGAATCAGACAACAACAATCACAGACTGCTGAGCCTCTGAAGTCTTGTATCAAGCGAGACTGGACAAAAATTTTGCTTGCAGAACTTTAACAATTCCCAAACAATGAAACATTGTAATTAAAAGGAAGGTTGATGTGACAGTTAAACATGCCTCTTTCCCAACATTTTTGGAGTGTGTTGCAGTCATCAAAATCAAAATGGGCTCATATTTATAAAATACATTTACGTTGGTCAGTGAAAACTTTGGAAATCTTCTCTTTGTATTTTGTCAATTAAATAAAAGAGAATAAACAAATCACAGATTCTTGATTTTATTGCATTTTACAAAACTGGAAGTGGGGTAGAAAAATAAATGTTAATTGAAGCTACATAGAAATATTAAAAAGTAACTAACAATGGCAAAAGCACATAACTAAAACGTTAACTAAAAATTAAAAGTGGTTTATTTTTAATTTGAATTAATAAAATCACTCAAACTAAAATAAATAACTAAAGCTGCATAGAAATATTAAAAAAGCAACTAACAATGACAACAACACATATAATTACTCAAATTTAAACAAAAAATTAAATGTGATTTCTTTTTAGTTTGAATGAAATTACTAAAACTAAAATAAATATAAATTAAACCTACAGAGAAATATATATAAAAAAATCTAACAATGACAAAATCACATAAAATGACTGAAATGTGAAATAATTAAATGTGGTTTCTTTTTAGTTTTAAATACTGAAATGACTAAAACTAAAATAAATATAAATTACGGCTACACAGAAATATTTAAAAAAGCAAACTAACAATGACAAAAGCATATAAAATTACTAAAACTAAAAATTAAATGTGGCTTCTTTTTTGTTTGAATTACTAAAATTACTACAACTAAAATAAATATAAATTAAAGCTACAAAAAAACAACTAACAACAAAAAAGTGCAAAAGACAAAATTACTAAAACTTAAATTAAAAATGAAGGTTTTTTAGCTTGAATTTCTAAAATTACTAGAACTAAAATAAATATAAATTAAAGCTACATAAAAAAACATTAAAAAGGCAACTAACAACTAAAGCGCAAAACAAAATTACTCAAACTTAAACTACAAATGTTGAATTACTTAAATTAATAAAACTAAAATAAAGCTTCATAGAGATATTAAAAAAGCTGCTTATGCTGTTTATTGTTACTATTAAATAAAATCAATTTTTTTAGCAATAACTACAGTAACTAGTATATTAGGGAAATTATGAATACCATGGTAAATATTTAAAAGGGTAAGAGATAACGGAGAGTGAAAACAGAAAGAGAGAGAGAGAATGAGGCTGTAAAAATGTGTACATTCCTTCCCAGCTTATTAAAGTGCTCATGTTTGATCTTCAGCGGTGAGTTTGATTGACTGTGATTAAGCTCACAGCTCAAATGCCATTTAAATGTGGACCAAGAGAAGTGAGTCTGTAGTCCATTACTGTGAAAATCAAGCCTCTCTCTCTCTCACACACACACACACACACAATGCCACCACATTCAACAAATTAGATTTACATTGTTAGAACGAAACCTTCTGGACTAAATATGAATATAATATCAGTTTACAGACTGTGTACAGTATATCCACTAAAACACATGTAAAGCAATCCTAACTAATATATAAAAGATAAAAGACTTCAGATGCAAAATATAAGCTAGTTAACTGAAAATGACTGTATCAACGAATAGTAAAATAGATTCATCAGCTATTACAACAACTAGGTGTATAATTTGTCATTGTGAGCTGGTTTTAAAGGTGCCATAAGTATTTTTTTGTCCACTTTAAAGCAGAGCTGTTATTGTGAACTAAAACTAAAATCATTAAAAAAATGTAAAAAATAAAAAATATACATAAAATATAAAACTATAAAATAAAATAGGTACAAATTTAAATAATTAAAAATAAATAATTTTAATTTGAAGTACTAAAATGACTAAAACTGAAATATAAATTAAAGCTATTGAAATGTAAAAAAACCCCAAACAAACTAATAAAAATAAAAGCACAAATTTACAAAAACGTCAATCAATCAATATATTAAATAAATAAAACCTAATTCAAAATAATAATAAATACTATAAAAGTATATAATACTAAAATAACAGTAAATAATACTAAAATAGCACCTCAAGAAATGAACAGTATGGGAATACTAATGCTAACAGATCTTTGTATTGGCCAATGAAACAAGAAAATACTGCATGAACCTTTAAAATATACAAGAGTACTCTGACAAAACGAAGGAATGGTTTAAAAATATGTAAATATGAACTAGTTTTGAGATGTCTCGGCGTGAACTAGTTTCAAGATTCAGAAGTTTGTTAGATTTACAACCTCTAAATCTAAGGACAAGTGGAAAAACAGGCTCATCAGCCTACATTACTTTAGCATGTCTAGCTTTGAAGATACACTTGAAAAGCTTTTTTTACAACTTCAAACGTGTGTGTGTTTGCAAGATTTGTGCTCTTCCGTTCTGGGTAATATATGATCTGGGGATGTGTTTGTAGGTGTGAGTTCGTCAGTGAAAATATTTGAGCAGAGACTTGTGTGTGTGTTTGCTTGCTGGATCATCTTGCTGACTGGGGTGACGTTTCTTCTCATGAGTAATGCTCTCTCTCTCTCTCTCTCTCTCTCTCTCTCTCTCTCTCTCTCACTCACTCACTCTCTCACTCCCACACTCACACTCTCACTCACACACTCACACACACTTCTGTAGTGTACTTAACTATGGTTTGGGGAAGAAATGAGAAGAACAAAGCTAAAACAGACAAAACCCTAGGATTTTCTACCCCACTTCCAGTTTTGTAAAAAAAAAAAATTACATATTAATGTGAAATGGACATAAAATTAAATTTTAATTATCCTTCCTTGAGGGCTTTTCGTATAAAATATTGAAATGCAATTAATCATGAATACTTCAAATGATTAATCTGCATACAATGAGATGAATTATTTAATTGAGTGACAGCCCTAATAAAAGTCTGTGGTCCATGTGTTGACTTCTAAGCAAAGGTGTGTAATATCAAAAAAAGAGAGAAAGTCCAGTTTTGTAAAAAAAAAAAATTACATATTAATGTGAAATGGACATAAAATTAAATTTTAATTATCCTTCCTTGAGGGCTTTTCGTATCAAATATTGAAATGCAATTAATCATGAATACTTCAAATGATTAATCTGCATACAATGAGATGAATTATTTAATTGAGTGACAGCCCTAATAAAAGTCTGTGGTCCATGTGTTGACTTCTAAGCAAAGGTGTGTAATATCAAAAAAAGAGAGAAAGAAAAAAAAGAGTGTGTTTAAAGGTTTGTGCATGAGTCTTCAAGCGCTTTTAAGGAAGATGCTTCACAGTCCAGCGGTGGGAAAGAGTACCTTCATTCTCAATCGTGTCGACTGCATCATTGACCAGCCGAATTACCGTCACTATGGAAGCTTGGAAAGAGAAAGCAATGGAGACCAGTCAGAAACGTTCACACACACACACACACACACACACACACACACACACACACACACACACCAATCAAACAGAAGAATCAACTCCACAATTTCGGTAACACTGTTGGTCCACTGCAGAAACTTCTGTGGCCAGATTGGCTGCAGATGAATTTAGCTGTGACCAATGAAAGGCAAGCATGACATCATTCCAGCGAATCTGAGGAGAGATGGGGATGTGACCAACACACACACACACACCTGCTGCACTCGACAATTTAATATTTTAATGTTTGCATAAATTATATATTTTATATTAGTTTAATTTAATTAATTAACTTTTTAAATAGTCATGCATGTCTAAGTGAAATGTTTCAATGATTAATTATTGCTATTTATTATTATTAAAGTTTTTTTAATAATAATATTTCTTAATTTATTTACATGTTTTAATTTCCCTAGTATAATTATTTATTTATTTTATTTATTTAGAGAATTATTTGGTGTGGTTAGCCTGAGATTTTAAGCAATAATTAAAATCAGTTTGTAATACTTTTTTAAAACAAAAGTCATGCATGCGTAAGTGAGATATTATTTATTAATAATTATTAATCTATTAATTATAATATGAATAATTATTAAATATGAACATATGTTCTTATGATCATAGTCTTAATATTTATGATTATTTGGCGTATATATATTAAAGTGTAATGAACATCTTGACACATTGATTATTAGACACTTTAACAAACAAAAATAATCTTTATCTGTATTGTTAGTAATAAAAACATATATTCAAATCAGTAGACTTTTAAAAATTGGTATTAATTATAATAAAACATAATAGTGAATGTTAATTACAGAATTTGCTTGTTTGCATTTTTGTACGGTTGATAAAGCAATAATTCTTGACAGAAATTATAAGGCAACAGGTCTGTGCGACAAAACTACAACTCTCATGATTCTCTGTTGCAGATTTGAGATTCCTTCAGGTCTAACAGCTTAAAGTTCAATATTAAGGTATTCAATGACAAATAATAAATAATTGATCAAACATGAAGAATCAATTGTAAAGATATTTTGCTATATTAAAGTTTGTAAAAAAAAAAAAATAGTATAAAGTCAGGGACTTGAAAGCAGCAACACACACATACAAACACACACACCTCCCTCAAAAATACAAAAATATCTTAAAATATTTACTGCATTTAATTGAAAATGAGGATGACAGCATGAAGAGTCCTGAGGAAAGACGCATGTTGTTTTATCCTTTCATGATGAGCAGGAGCCACACACACACACACACACACACACACACACACACTCTTACCGTTATCATCACAGGAATCAGACTGAAAGGAGCTCAGCGACTGGACCTCGGAGTTGCTGCCCTTGTTACTGCCAGAGAAACATGTGACCTCTTCCAGCAAATCCACTTTCCCTGAACACAAAGATCAGGACGTCAACCAATCACAGCTTAACTTACAGTAAACACACACACACACGTTTTGTGCATCACAGCTGTGGGCGAATCTCCACGCCATTCTGTATCCGAGAAGTGCTCTCTCTGATGTTTGCCTGTAATTCCTTTCTTTTCCCGAACATTTTTCCTTTGATCTTTCCTTTAATGGTGTCATGGAAATGGCTGCTCAATTCATATTTCACAGGTGGAGATTTTTAAGACCTAAGAGGGTTTGAACGGAGGACACTGCAAACCACAAGAAAATGAAAAATGAAGTAATTATGGGCGGTGAAAAGCCTCAGAGGACTCAGATGGGGGAGAATTTAATACCAGAGGGAAAATAGCTTTTGACATCAGCTTCTCCAGTAAATGGACCCCCTATACATACTTCCATAACTGCTCTCCTCTCAGTATTTATTGATGTGAAGATTTATACACACTCAAGGGAAAGGTTTTGTTTTTTTTTTAAATAGGATTTTCCCCTTTGTTTTGTCTCTCAAAAGCACTCCCGTGCTTTTCCGAAATACATCTGCTGTAAATCACCCTGGATTAGATAATATGGAAAAAAAACTACAAAAAACAAAACAAAAACAAAAAACAAACAAAAAGCAACAGAGAATACAAAAAAAATAAATAATAATATATATATATTTTTTTAAAGAAAATACAAAACAAAAAACATAGAAAATAAAACAAACAAGTAAAACTATGGAAAGCTGTTTCTGCCCTGCTGCCATGTGAAATTATAATTGTGACATTTTATCTTAAAATTGTTTTTTTTTTTTTTTACATTTTGGAATTCAGAATTCTCTTAATTGCAAGATGCAAACTCAGAATTCTGACCCCCGCCCCTCCTCCAGAGTTTACATTTCACAATTCTAAGTTTCTATCTCATAATTCTGAGTATCTCACAATTCTGAGTTTATATCTCTCATAATTCTGAGTTTATATCTCATAATTATGTTTCTATATCTCATAATTCCATGTTTATATCTCATATTTCTGAGTTTACATCTCTCATAATTCTTAGTTTATATCTTTTATAATTCTGAGTTCATATCTCTTATAATTCTGAGTTTGTCTCATAATTCTGAGTTTATATCTCACAATTCTGAGTTTATATCTCTTATATTTCCGAGTTTATATCTCTTATATTTCCGAGTTTATATCTCATAATTATGAGTTTGTATCTCACAGTTCTGAGTGTTTTTCTCTGAACTGTAGAAAAAAGTCAGAATTGTGAGATATGAAGTCGCAATTGTCTTTTTTTATTCCTTTGGGGGAAAAAAAATCTGTGGATTTTGTGGAGTGGATTTTAACATGCTGAAATTGATAATTCAGAGCTGAGAATACTACTCTTACTGGTAGCAGAAAGCATAATACAATTCTAAAATATTAAATAAATGGATAAACAAGGAATGTGCAGAACTTTAATCACAGGTATTTCAATTCTGCTTGAGTTCTGCTGTTTCTATGGGGGCCTGTTTATAGAATTACAGGTTTATTTCCATGTCATTTTCAAATGAAGTGACTTTCGATTAGGTTTACAAAAAGCAACATTAAAACGCAGCAAAATCTGAAAAGCTTTTATTGCATAAAACAGTTTCCACCTGCAGCTCAGTTTTCAATTTCAGCTGTAACCCTCATATGAAATCGCATTTTGATTTGATTTACAGAAAACACCATTAACAAAGATGAACTTAGCTAGTGGGAACAGTTTCAACAAATATAAGCTTTTTCCCCCAGATCCTGTGCGCTTCTGCCTAAACTGTCACAGCAGGAAACGGAGCTGAGTTTAAGAAGATAAAAGTGCAGCGCTCTGCCACTGCATACACTGATAACGTGAAATCTGGCAGCAGGTCGTGTTATCTGTGCTGAAAACAGTCATAGGTCGCTTTACCATTGATACATCGGCATACGGTTTTGAATGCTGTGCCATTGCTAGTGTTGGCTTAGGGTTCATTAAGAGTCTGAATATTAAAATGCGCATGCCAAAAAGCCTCAGGGGGTTACTGAGATACGAGCATGTGTGTGTGTGTGTGAAACAGCAGATCTCGGCCAATCTCTGAGCTGCGTGAGGTTAAATGCAATTAAATGCGATGTTTAAATAAAACATGTTAAGGGAAAGATGGATTTCACAGTTGGCGGGCATGAACTGATCAAAGCCGTCTGATAAATTCACACTGGCAAACACATAAACATGCATAAACGTATGCGTGCAAACACAACAGAGTATACGAGCGATGCAGAGAGGAGTTGCATGATTTTGCCTGGAGCGAGAAATGTTTGATTTTTTTTAATGAGAGGCTCCCATAATGCTCCATCACAACCACAATACACTTTAAAAACTGCAACTGTTGTCAGCAATAATTCACACGCAATTTGAAATAAACTATTAATAGTGTAAATTGAAAAAAAGATGGAATTTGGGAAAAAACAAATGGGAAATACTATGTCTAGTAAAAATTTATGGATGAATGAACAACTTGAAATAATAATAATAATAATAATAATAATAATAAAACAGATTCTTTGAATATTCTTAATTTGGGGTTCTTTTTTTTTTTAAATGGATATATGCAAAATGCATGCAAAATTATTATTTGCACAAGCAAATACATGCAACATTACTATCATTTTTCAGCTACTATTATTAAAATAATTTAATATAGGAAAATACAATTATATTTAGGAAATATTTTTTAATGGAAAAAGTTTGGCAATAAATTACTGGAAAATAAAATTTATTAAATATACTCAATATAAATGAGCAATTTATAATAATAATAACATGGGAAATACTATGTCTAGTAAAAATTATGAACAACTTGAAATAATAATAATAATAATAATAATAATAATAATAAAACAGATTCTTTGAATATTCTTAATTTGGGGTTCTTTTTTTTTTTAAATGGATATATGCAAAATGCATGCAAAATTATTATTTGCACAAGCAAATACATGCAACATTACTATCATTTTTCAGCTACTATTATTAAAATAATTTAATATAGGAAAATACAATTATATTTAGGAAATATTTTTTAATGGAAAAAGTTTGGCAATAAATTACTGGAAAATAAAATTTATTAAATATACTCAATATAAATGAGCAATTTATAATAATAATAACAATAATGATTTTTCTTCATTTAGGGTTCTTATAGAAAAAGAACATGTATATATATTTGTTTATACATGAAATATTACTATTGTATCTATCATTTCTGCTATTTATATTACAATCATACATGCCCTTCATATTATATTGGTAAATATATTTTATTTTTAAAAAGAACAACAGAATTTGGGAAATATTACTAGAAATAAAAATCAATTATACCAAATGTTAAGTGAAAATTAATGATTTGATTATTATTATTTTTTTTTATTAAAAGTTGGAATATAGTTACTATTGTTCGTCTGCTATTTATATTACATTCATATAATATATTAAAATTATATTTATAAATGTGTGGAGCAGTAACTGGGTGGAAATTCTGCTATGGATCGAAATTGGAGTGAGATTTATTTAAAGGGATAGTTCACCCAAAAATGAAAATTTGATGTTTATCTGCTTACCCCCAGGGCATCCAAGATGTAGGTGACTTTGTTTCTTCAGTAGAACTCATATGATGATTTTTTACATTAACCGTTGCAGTCTATCAGTCATATAATGCATGGCAATGGTAACAAAATCTATGAGAGTAAAAAAAACATGCACAGACAAATCCAAATTAAACCCTGTGGCTCGTGACAACACATTGATGTCCTAAGACACGAAACGATCGGTTTGTGCCAGAAACCGAACAGTATTTATATAATATTTTACCTCTAATACACCACTATGTCCAACTCATCTTTCGGCGCGCGCATGGCATCCGGTGCGTGAGGTGTGTACGCGCTCTGGCGTAGTTTACACAAGCGCCGGAAGTGATCTCTCGTGCGTATACGTCACTCATTGTTAACACAGTGCACAGTCATTGTAGGTACGATGGCTAATCAAAATGGT